AAAAAGGCAGATTTGAAATTCCACCCTATCTTTTATTTTTCGAAGAGGACGACTCCTACTGAAAGTAAATATCACTCGTTCGAGTTAGAAACTTTAGCTGTCATTTATGCTCTACGTAGGTTTAGAAATTATCTTCATGGAATTAAATTCAAGATTATTACGGATTGCGATTCCTTTAGGCTCACGCTCAATAAAAAAGATATTCATCCTAGAATTTCTCGTTGGGCTCTAGAACTCCAAAATTATGATTACGAAGTGGTGCATAGGGCAGGTACTCAAATGCAACATGTTGATGCTCTTAGTAGAGTTACAAGCATTATGGTAGTCGAAGACAATTCTCTAGAATTTAATTTAGCAGCATGCCAAAATGAAGACCCCGTCATTAAAGAGTTAAAAACTACCTTAGAAAAAACAGAAAGTAAATACTATGAGATGCGCAACGGACTTATATACAGGAAGCACAAAAACGAATTATTATTTTATGTTCCTACTGCGATGGAAAATAGCATTTTACACAAGTACCACAATGAAATGGGACATATAGGCATAGACAAAACTGTTTCTACTATTATGTTAAATTATTGGTTTCCCAATCTTAAACAAAAGGTTGAAAATTTTATCCATAATTGTCTTAAATGCATTTCTTATTCTCCTACAGCAGGTAAACGCGAAGGCTTATTACATAGCATTGATAAAGGCACATTACCTTTTGATGTGATACACATAGATCATTACGGACCGGTTGATAAACGACATAAAATTAAGCAATATATTCTTACTGTTATTGACGGTTTTACTAAGTACGTTAAATTGTATGCAACCAAGACTACTTCAAGTGCAGAGGTTATACGTTGTTTGACTGATTATTTTAGAAGTTACAGTCGCCCCCGTGTAATTATATCAGACAGAGGTTCTTCATTTACGGCTCAGGAATTCCAAAACTTCTTGAAAGATCATAATATAAAACATGTATTAGTTGCTACAGGATCACCCCAAGCTAATGGACAGGTAGAGCGAGTCCACCGTACACTTACGCCTATGTTAGCAAAACTTACCGAAAACAGAGATGGCAAATATTGGTATCACGTATTGTCCGATGTAGAATTTACATTTAATAATACTGCGAATAAAAGTACAGGAGAAGCACCTAGTACATTACTGTTTGGATGCCGACAACGAGGAGCAATTATAGATAAGCTCTCCGATTATATTGACGATGCTAAAGACGATAG